TCAGCAATCCCGGGGTGATGGACCCGGGTTTAGCAATCCCAGGATGATGGATCTGGGCTCAGCTGTGCCGGCTCGAGGCGATCGACCCGGGTTTAGCAATCCCAGGATGATGGATCCGGGCTCAGCAATCCTGGGGCAATGGATCTGGGCTCAGCAGAGCTGGCTCGGGGGGATGGACCCGAATTTAGCAATCCCGGGGTGATGGATCCGGGTTTAGCAGAGCTGGGTTGATGGATCCGGGCTCAGTTGAGCCGGCTCGGAGTGATGGACCCGGGTTCAGCAATCCCAGGGTGATGGATCTGGGTTTAGCAGAGCCAGCTCGGGGGGATGGACCCGGGTTTAGCAATCCCGGGGTGATGGATCCGGGTTTAGTAGAGCCGGCTTGGGGTAATGGATCCAGGTTTAGCAATTCCAGGGTGATAGATCCAGATTTAGTAATCTCGGGGTGATGGATCCGGGCTCAGCAATCCTGGGGCAATGGATCTGGGCTCAGCAGAGCTGGGTTGGGGGGATGGACCCAGGTTTAGCAATCCCAAGGTGATGGAGCCGGGTTCAGCTGAGCCAGCTTGGGATGATGGATCCGGGCTCAGCAGTCCCGGGGTGATGGATCCGGGTTTAGCAATCCTGAGATGATGGATCCGGGCTCAGCAATCCCAGGATGATGGATCCAGGTTTAGCAGCCCTGGACTGATGGATCTGGGCTCAGCTGAGCCAGCTCGGGGTGCTCTGGTGGCTCTGTCCCCTGAGGTGACAGGGACAGGCAGGGTCAGGGATGCTCCAGGATCACACTCCGGGCACAGAGGGAACGAATTAGAGCTGAACCAACTCGTTTTGTGCCCAGGATTTGCAAATCCTTGTCCTGCTTTTCCCCACCTCACTCTGGCAGGGAGGCTGTTCTCAGGAGAGCAGGGGTGGCACTGGGTCTGTCACACAGGGCAGGGTGGCACTGGGTCTGTCACACAGGGCAGGGTGGCCCTGATCTGTCACCTCCGTAAGTCACAGCTACAGTGGCAGCCCATGGTGGCACATCCCAAGCCAGGAGGCTTCCAGGAAATCCTTCTTTGAGACACAAATCAGCTCCTCCTCCTTGGGAGCACCAAATGTAAAATTATGGACTTAAGGTTGGCAAAGACCTTCAGACCATCAAGGCCACCCCCACACTGTGTCCCCAGGTGCCACATCCACACCTGACTGGAAAAGGATCTTGACTTTCTCATTAATTGTACCAGTTATCCCTGAGGTGAAAGCTGATGTGGAACGAGCTGGGAATTAAGGAAATTATGAGGAACTTGGAAGAGAAGCAACTTTACACCACTTTACACCACTTTACTGAAAGTAAAATCCATTTATCAAGGATTAAAAAACTTATCCTCACCCTCACTGGTTCTGCAGGTAACCTGTGCTGAAAAAAAGATCTGAAGCTGCTTTGTGTGAGACTTTCAAAAAGAAAAAAACTTCCAGGTTTGTACAGGATTTTTAGATGTGTTTTTTTTCATTTTTTGTCCTGGAGAAGGGATTTTGCAGTGGACAGCAAATGCCAATTTTGCACCAGCTCAGGGCAGGGAGGAGTGATTGGTTTGGGGTCATCTCTGAGCTGTGACTCAGTGCCTGGGCACGGCAATCAGGCATCATTTATGCAGAAATCACAATAAATTTCGGTGCTCATTTGCATTGAGGACCCTCAAATCTGGCTGGAATGATTATTCTCCCCCTCGAACCCTCTCACCGAGCTCCCAGTGACTCCCCCTGTGGATTCACATCTCTCCCAGCTCCCGGGGCAGAGCCGGATCCCACCTGAGCCAAAGGCAGAGGGATTTGGCTCCGGAGGGAAGCGCTGTGAGCAGGGAGGGGCTGCAGGAACAGAGGGAGCTCAGACCCCGCTCATTCCTGGCACTGAATCCCAGCCTGGCCACGGGAGGGATCTGGGAATTCTGCAGGAGCACCGGCAGGTGATGAGGAGAGAGGAGAGGGAGGAAGATTTGCAGCAGAAGATTTGCAGCAGAAGATTTGCAGCAGAAGATTTGCAGCAGAAGATTTGCAGCAAAGCCTCCCCAGCCCCGGAGGTGAGTTTGGCTCCTGGGAGCAGCAGAGGAAGGGAACTGGGGTGGGAGGCAGGAGGGAAAATCCAAACTCCAAAAATCCAAAAATTCTGTCAGCAGAAACCTGGAAAGGACCGAGAGCTTCCAGCACTTTTCCTGGGCTGGCAGCAGGACTGGATTGCAGCTGGGGCTCCAGAGATGCTGTGGGAGCAGGGCAAAGGGAAAAGGGGCTCTGGATGCTGATGGAGTCCTGAGAAAACTCAGCAGGAAGGGATAAAGGGGTGTCTTGGTTTGAAAGCCAGGAGTCTGCTCAGGAAGGCAGGAGCCTCTCCTGAAATGGAAAATGTAAAATCCCCTCGCTCCAAATTGCTATAAATTTTAAATTAAGGGGCTCTCAGGCAAAAATATGGGAGCAAGAATAACAGTTCTTTAATAGGGAAGAAAATAAAAGGATAAAATAAACAATGCAGTGAACTAAACCAACTCTGCCAGAGTCAGAACCCAGCCTGACACCCTGTGGGTCAGGGTGTTGGCAGCAGTGCCATTGGAATTGTGGCTCAGCCCTCCTGCAGTGCCAGGGCTGGTTCTGCTGGAGCAGGATCCTGGACAAGGGGGGAGTCTCCTCTGGAGATCCAGGGGCAGAGGCAGCTGCTGCTCCTCTGGGGAATCCAGTGCAGAAGCCGTGCTGGTGCTCCAATGTAGGAGCATCGGGGACAGTCAGGATGGACGGAGACGAGAGATCTCTGCAGCCAGGTCAGGAATTTGGGGTTATTGCAAAGGGCCCTGCTGGGAGCTGCCAGGCACAGCTCAGAGCAGGCTGAGAGAGGAGAGAGGGGGAGAGAGGATGAGAGGGTGAGAGAGTAAAAGGGTAAGAGAGTGAGGTTCCCATTGCAATACAATAAATCTTCTTCTGTGCTGAATATTCCAATTCTCACTAACCAATCCAGTACAAGATACAAATCCTACAGCATTTCCATACAGCCTATAAGAATCATTACATTCCCACACTGTGTTACATTTTAAACCCTAAAAACTCCTCTTTGGGCCCTTCTGCCAAGCTGTAGGGTCTGCTCTGACCCTTGGAGCTGTCTGCAAGCAGAGGGTGTTGTTCCATCAAAAGGGGATCACCTTCAGCCAGCCACACCATTGTTTTCCAGTTGTTCAGTAACTGAGGGATCTCAAAGCTTGCTTTCATTTCAATCTCACTTATAGTTTCTATATTAAAATTTTTTGCCAGACAATCATGTTTATAAGGCTTTCCTGTTCCATCTCCCCCAACATTCCAGAATCCCCAGATTATATCCAGGCAGGAATGCTTGGCTCCTCCCTCTGGGCTCACATCTCCCAATGGGATGCCGTAGTTCTTATCAGCCATGCAGCGACATTCAATGGCCTCTTATCAGCAGATGTCCCCCCGGTTGTGGAAGAGATAAGAAAAACCACTGAACAGAAGACAGCTGAGGAGCAGATGGTGAACAGAACACAATTTGCCTGACAGTCCAGGACAAGGGGCAGCCATGGATGGGTTTTACCCCTCGGCAGGAGGAGCTGGGCAGGATGGGCTCAGTGCCACCGGCTGGGCAGCCCAAAGCCACTCCCCGCTGTCCCTGCGGGTGGTGACAGCCGCCTGCCTGTCCCTCCTCATCCTCACCACGCTGCTGGGGAACGCCCTGGTGTGCCTGGCCGTGCTCAGGTTCCCACACCTGCGCTCCAAGGTCACCAACCTCTTCGTGGTCTCCCTGGCCGTGTCCGACCTGCTGGTGGCCATGCTGGTGATGCCCTGGAGGGCTGCCAGCGACGTGCTGGGCTTCTGGCCCTTCGGGGCCTTCTGTGACCTCTGGGTGGCCTTTGACATCATGTGCTGCACGGCCTCCATCCTCCACCTGTGCCTCATCAGCGTCGAGCGCTACTGGGCCATCGCCGAGCCCTTCCGCCACCAGAGGAGGGTGACACAGCGCCTGGCCTTCGTCACCATCGCGGTGGCTTGGCTGCTGTCCCTCCTCATCTCCTTCCTCCCTGTGCAGCTGCAGTGGCACAAGGCCCGGGAGCAGCTGGGGTCTAACGGCTCTGTGGAGGAGGGGAGCTGTGATCCCAGCCTCAGCAGGACCTACGCCATCTCCTCGTCCCTCATCAGCTTCTACATCCCCGTGGCCATCATGGTGTGCACCTACGGGCGCCTCTTCCGCCTGGCCCGGCACCAGCTCCGCGGCATCTCCTCCCTGGAGACACCGGCGAGACGGAGCGACCCCCCTCGGGAAACCTCCCTGAAAAACTCCCTCAAGAAGGAGACCAAGGTGCTGCAGACCCTCTCCATCATCGTGGGCGTCTTCGTGTGCTGCTGGCTGCCCTTCTTCGTGCTCAACTGCCTGGTGCCCTTCTGCGACCCCAAGCTCCAGGTCCCGGGAGCGTCGCCGTGCGTCAGCAGGGCCGTGCTCAGCACCTTCACCTGGCTGGGCTGGGCCAACTCTGCCCTCAACCCCATCATCTACGCCTTCAACGNGGATGGAACATGAGATTCCAGGGGATGGAACATGAGATTCCAAGGGATGGAACATGAGATTCCAAGGGATGGAGCAGAGCAGGGAGGCACTTGGGCACTCTGGAATGGTATTGGGTGGTTGTGGATGGGTTTGATGAGTTCTGATCTCTCCTCTGTTGCAATTCCCTTCCCAGATGTGGCACAAAAGACTCCCTCTGCTTCTTCTGAACCCAAAACAGCTCTGGGACTGAGTCTCTGAAGAGCCAACAGAATCCTGTTGCTGCAGTTTGGGAAGTGTCTCCATGTTCCTGAACTGATGACCAGAACTTCCAAGGAGAGGGGAGCAGCCCTGTCCTCCTGGCTCTGTCTTTGCTCAGCAGCAGGAGCTCCTGCCATGACAATCCACTCTGGACCTGGCCCCAGCTGGTGTTTGTCATCTGTGCCAGCATCTGGTCTCGATCTGACTCGTGACCCCAAGTCACTGCCACATCCAGTCTTCCCTCTGGGAGCACAACTCCAGCCAAGATAAAAACTCTTGTGTGTCCATAGCAGTGCTCGGTTTTGGGTTTGATTTTGGTTTCTCTTCCTTTGCTGTGGCTGATGTTGAGAATCTGAGTAGCAGCAGCGTTGCAGTGGCTCAACATTTGGCTGTTTGTGTGGTTGTTTAGAACACTTGGCACATCAGTCCTGCCCTCAAACACCTGGTGCTCGTTGTGTCCCTCCCTCTGGATCCTGCACTGGCAGCCAGGCACTGGATCTGCTCAGTTTGAGGAGATTTTGGTGCTGCTCAGAGAGGGCAGCAAGGGCAAGCACAAGACAAAAGAATCCCTCTCTCTGTAATGACATTAAGGCCTTAAAAGGGAGACCTGCAAAAGATTCCCCCAGAGGAGTTTCAGGCTCTTGTGGCCAAGGCTGCTCTTTCTGCTGGCACTTGAAATTGGAGCTGGGGGCTCTTTTTGTATCACCCCTGTAAGCAAAACTCCTGGGGAGCTGCAGGGTGCTGGCTCTGAGCTGCCACGGAGGGATTTGGGGTGGGAAATCAATAAAAGGATCCCTTGGGAAGGCACAGCCCCATGGAACAGCCTTGGCTTTGCCTTCAGCCCTGGCACTGCACTCCCACAGGAATGTGTGTTCCCTGACAGCCCCAAACCAGCCCCTGGGGATGTTTTTGATGCACAAACCCTGAGCACCACAGCTGCAGCTGCCCCAGGACTGCCTCTCCCCCTCCCATCTTTTGCAGGTCACTTTTTACCCCTGTGTGCACACGGAAGCCTGGGAAGCCCAAATCCCTGAAACACCGAGCTGCAGGAGGGGAATGTGCCCTTCCCTGGCACTCCTGAGCATGGCAGGGGAGTGCCTGGCTGCCTGTGGGTGGATCACAGCCCTGTGCCCCTAATCCTGACTGGGAATGGATCCCAGAACACTGGGAATGTGTTCCCACAGCACTGGGAATGTGTTCCTGTACCAGTGGGAATTTATTCCTGCAGCACTGGGAATTTATTCCAATACCATTGGGAATTTATTCCAATACCACTGGGAATTTATTCCCAGAGCATTTGGAATGTATCCCAGTACCATTGGGAATTTATTCCAGTATCACTGGGAATTTATTCCCACAGCATTGGGAATTTATTCCAATATCACTGGGAATTTATTCCCACAGCATTGGGAATTTATTCCAGTACCACTGGGAATGTATTCCTGCACCACTGGGAATTAATTCCAGTACTACCGGGAATGTATTCCACAGCACTGGGAATTTATTCCCACAACATTGGGAATTTATTCCAGTGCCACTGGGAATGTGTTCCTGCACCACTGGGANGGGCCGGTGTCCTTCTCTCCTGACAACTCCGGGCCAGTGTCCTTCCACCCCAACACCTCTGGGCCGGTGTCCTTCCACCCCACCACCTCCGGGCCAGTGTCCTTCCATCCTGACACCTCCGGGCCGGTGTCCTTCCACCCCAACACCTCTGGGCCAGTGTCCTTCTGTCCTGACACCTCCAGGCTGGTGTCCTTCCACCCCGACACCTCCGGGCACAGGGCTCTGCAGAGCCTCAGCCCGTCCCAGCTGCTGCCCCACGCCGTGCTGCAGGTGGAGAACCCCGAGGTGCCCTTGGAGAGGGTTTCTCCGGGCTCCTCCCCATCTCAGAATGCCCTTCCTGAGTGTGGGACCCCCGTCCAGCTGGGGAGGATTCCCTCTCTGGCCAGCAGAGCCTTCCATTGAGCCTGGGTGGGAAAAGAGGGGTGGGAAGGTCTCCAGCAGAGAGGGGAGCGGGGACATTTCTGTTTTCTGAGGAGCTGAGAGAGGAGCTGGCCAAATCCAGCTGGTCCCTGGCCTGGTGGGACTGGGGCTGCCTTGTTTACCTGGCTGCAGAATGTGGCTCCTTTTCCCCTTTTTTCCTGCACAGGCTTCCTCTGTAATCCCATCAGGAAGCATCTTCTTCCTTTTCCTCCTCTTTTCCCGTCTCCCATCCCAAAGTGCCCTTGGAGAGGGTTTCTCCAGGCTCCTCCCCACCTCAGATCCCCCTTCCTGGGTGTGGGACCCCTGCCCAGCTGGGGAGGATTCCCCCTCTGGCCAGCAGCGCCCTCCATTGAGCCTGGGTGGGAAAAGAGGGGTGAAAACTGAACGGTGAAACTGCTGTATTAATTTATAATTAATACTTATAATTCAGGGTGTTGTGTGGTGCTGGGAACTCCTGGCTTGGCACAAGAGAGGAGGGAGCACTCAGCTTTTCCCAGAACTGTTTTGGAAGAGTTTCTTGATATGTGTGGCAAAATTCTGGTGCTTAATCCAGGATGGTTTGTAAAGGGATGGGGGAAAGCAGCCGGCTCGGTGTGTCTGTGATGGACTGCAAAGGAAAGACAACAAAGAGGGTGAAGTGACCCATTGTGTGTCCTATTATTACCTGTATTTAATTATTTCATTAAATTAATGTGTTTAATTACTGCTATTTTCCTGCAGCAGCTCTGACCCAGCACCAGGAGGGACAGGGGGTGACAGCCAGCCCCAAACCTGCCAGGCTCTGGAAGGAATCCCAGTGTGTTACAGACATTCCTGTGGGCAGACTGGGAAACGGGAACGGCTCCAAACTGGTGGGACTGGGGCTGCCTTGGGCACAGACCCCCCTTGTTTACCTGGCTGCAGAATGCGGCTCCTTTTCCCCTTTTTCCCTGCACAGGTTTCCTCTGCAATCCCACCAGGAAGCCTCTTCCTCCTTCTCCTCCTCTTCTTTTCCCTTCTCCCATCCCAAATTCCACACTGGGGTGGGTGAAATTATTCCAGGCTGGGGCTGATCCCAGAGCAGGGATTGGGGCAGGGATCTTTTTTACCATTTTCTCAAAACCCTCTAATTTTATAGATCCCAACACTCTGTAATCCCAAAAAAACTCCTGGAGCTCTGGGTGTGCCATGGGTGACCTGGGGACAGATTCTGGTTTTTTGGGTGAGGAGAAGAGGAGCCTGAGAAAAGTGATATTTGCAAAAGAGGGAAAGGAGGAAAAGCATCAAATCCACGTGGAAATCAGCAGATACAGGGGGAAAATTGGAGGTTCCTCCTAATCCAAACCAGTCCAAACCAGCCACATTTGAATGTGCTGGGCTGGGAGAGTGTGGGAATTAACCCTGTGCAGGGGATGTGGAATTGTGCTGCTTTCCCAGCTGGAATTGCAGCGAGACAGGGAATGACTGCTGGCCTTCAAGTGATTTTTCAGCCAGAAAAAAAATCGGGAATTTTAGGAAGAATGGCTTTAACAGGGAAAGGGAGAAGTGAGCATGGGTGAGGATAATGGGATGTGGCTGCTGGGGGTTGATGTCTTGCCTGACTTTATTTCCAGACTGGAACCTGCTCCTCTTGCCCGGGAAAGGCCGGGATTATTTCCCGGGACAGCCGAGGCCGGGATTGCTCCCCCGGGACAGCCGAGGCCGGGGTTGTTTCCAGGGAAAGCCGAGGCCGGGGTTGTTTCCCGGGACAGCCGAGGCCGGGATTATTTCCCGGGACAGCCGAGGCCGGGGTTGTTTCCCGGNCCCATCCCATCCCATCCCATCCCATCCCATCCCATCCCATCCCATCCCCAGTTGAAGGGGAGATCCTTTCCTGATCCTTTCCTACAGCCTCAAGTTGTGCCAGGGGAGGTTTAGGTAGGAAATCGGGACAAAATCCTTCATGGAAAATGTCAGGCACTGGAAGGGTGGAATCAACGTCCCTGGAGGGGTTCAGAAAGTGTGGAGGTGGCGCTTGGGGACACCGTGTGGGGTGGCCTTGATGGTCTGAAGGTCTTTGCCAATCTTAAGTCCATAATTTTACATTTGGTGCTCCCAAGGAGGAGGAGCGGATTTGTGTCTCAAAGGATTTCCTGGAAGCCTCCTGGCTTGGGATGTGCCACCATGGGCTGCCACTGCCACCCTGTGCTGTGACTTATGGAGGTGGCAGATCCAGTGCCACCAGTGCCCTGTGCGACAGATCCAGTGCCACCAGTGCTCTGCGTGACAGATCAGTGCCACCCATGCCATGTGTGACAGATCCAGTGCCACCAGTGCACTGTGTGACAGATCCAGTGCCACTCTGCTCTGTGTGACAAATCCAGTGCCACCAGTGCCCTGTGTGTGACAAATCAGTGCCACCCTGCTGGGCTGTGACAGATCCAGTGCCACCCTGCCCTGTGTGACAGATCAGTGTCACCCTGTTCTGTGTGACAAATCCGGTGCCACCCATGCCCTGTGTGACAAATCCAGTGCCACCTATGCCCTGTGTGTGACAGATCAGTGCGACCCTGCTGGGCTGTGACAGATCCAGTGCCACCCTGCCCTGTGTGACAGATCAGTGCCACCCATGCCCTGTGTGTGACAGATCCAGTGCCACCCTGCCCTGTGTGACAGATCAGTGCCACCAGTGCCCTGTGTGACAGATCCAGTGCCACCCTGCCCTGTGTGTGACAGATCCAGTGCCACCAGTGCCCTGTGTGTGACAGATCAGTGCCACCCATGCCCTGTGTGACAGATCCAGTGCCACCAGGGCCCTGTGTGACAGATCAGTGCCACCCTGCTCTGTGTGACAGATCAGTGCCACCAGTGCCCTGTGTGACAGATCCAGTGCCACTCTGCTCTGTGTGACAGATCAGTGAGACCCTGCTGTGTGACAGATCCAGTGCCACCAGTTCTCTGTGTGACAGATCAGTGCCACCAGTGCCCTGTGTGACAGATCTAGTGCCACCCATGCCCTGTGTAACAAATCCAGTGCCACCTATGCCCTGTGTGACAGATCAGTGCCACCTATGCCCTGTGTGACAGATCAGTGCCACCAGTGCTCTGTGTGACAGATCCAGTGCCACCCATGCCCTGTGTGTGACAGATCCAGTGCCACCCATGCCCTGTGTGACAGACCAGTGCCACCCTGC